AAATGTCAAAGTCAAGGTCTATCATAAATACTTGGTACTACCAGCATTCAGCTGCAAAATTCAGGTCATGGTGAAACAAAAAGTGAAGGCTAGAGTCCTTCTTTGTAAAATACTTTGAAGGAAATAGGGTTTCATCATTCAGTTACAAAGATCCCATGACTGTTGTAGATGGCTGAAAAACACAGCAGTTAAGAAAATATAAAACAAAAAAAATTGAACTTCTTCGACCTCCTGATGAAGACACTTATTTTGAGCACTGTGGATACCTTTGCAAAAAAAACAAGACGGTCCAAATGTGTAAATTTCATTGAACACATTATAGCTATTCTACACAGGTATTGTACACATCACCAGTTATTCATTAAGTGGTATGACTAACATCTGTCATGTGGTGTTTGTTCACTCATTATCTGACCATGGGTGAAGAAGTCTGTTGCAGTGGTATGTGCATTATTTTGCTAAAGATTTTATTCTGTTTCTGATTTAGGATATGTTACTGTACATTTGTGGTACAACACACATGGACACAAAATGTGCTATGTATAAACATTTAGGCCAAAAGGTGTGAATGAGCGCATGGAAAAAATTTGAACTTTCTACAAATGTCTCATATAAAGTTCTGCATCATCTGTAGACCAGCCTTACCCTTTCTGTGCACAAACAACTTTTCCAAAGAAGCAGAACTGCTAGTCAAGATAGTATGCACCTCAGCTTACTTAAAAACTATGGCTAGATGTATAATACTTGAAAACAATATTGAAGGTGCCCACGTTGTGATGGATAAAGAAAACGGAATGATGTAGAAGTGACAGGTACAGGTATCATACAGAGCAGAGCAACTGATCAGCCAAAAATAAACTTCCAAGTGAAAAATAGCACAAGCTTGAAGAAGCCTAAGTGTTTTTCCTTGTTCATATTCAGTTCAATATGTGGACTTTGCCATTACATGACAGGTTTTCTTAGCCAAAATAATGTCTTTTATTTGCTCCATCTAAAATATTTTCTGACATTTATTCATTTCAGGCTGTTCTAGGAAACATCTGTACAGCAAATGTGTCTTAGACATACAGCTTGGATGAAAGAGATTTCCTTTTGGACTGGACAGCCTGAATAATGACCTCTGCAAATAAAACAAATGATTGATACTTGTGGTATTACTCACCACAGTACTATCTGCTGTTTCTCCCCTGATTTTTTAATGAGATTTAAAAGCATTTGAGTGAATAACCCCAGCCTTTTCATTAATTTAGCTAGCATGAAAAGCTGTGGGGCCTATGTGGCAGGTGCTGTGGGTTAACAATGGGCGTACTGTTTAATCCAAGGGAAACAGAGTTTAAAACAGCCATGAATAAAAGAGTATGGGACATTTTATGAGGTCAGGAGAAGCATTTTAAATGAGGAGGTGCAAAGAGAGACCAGCTACAGAAACATTCTTTCTTGTTACACTCACTTAGACATGAGAAAATACCTTATAATTTGCTCTGCAGAAGATAAAGAAATCAAAGTGGAATATGTAAATACAAGAAGTTTGTTGGTACACAGAGGATCACTTCTAACTTGCAGGAGCAGTTGGCTACAGTTCATCAGGGAATGGGCTATTCTTCTAGACCATATTCCTTACCAGGCTTATCTCTTTGAAATTCAGAGAAACACAAGGAGACAGTCAAGCAAGTGCAATAGCATTTCAACATAGGGAAAAATGGTATGTGATTTGCAGGTTTGTTTGTTTTCAAACACTGACTGACTCAGTTACTGAGAGCACTAATTAAGCAATCAGTGATTGCGAGTTTAGAGCAGAGAGCAGAAATGTTGAATCAAAATCACAAACAAACTTTCTGTAAAATACCTGAAAGTGATTTTGTTCTCATTCACTTTATACAATTGCAGTAGGTCCAGGGTCATTTGTGCCACTCCTCATCCCTTTAGGATAGAGTTTCAATGGTATAAATGGGCCTTTAGAGACTTGAAGACAGATGGAGAAGAGTACAGTTTCAAAATTGAATTAAATACCTTCCAGTTATGAAGCACAGATGTTCAGGGTCAGGAACACACAAGTGTAACACTGCTATAACGTGTCAGACTACTGTTCCTGCTGTTGGAATACCCTAACCATTTGCAGGTGATTCAGAAGAAGGTGTGGAAACACCAAAAGGAGAATTACATTATAGTTTGTACTATTGGAGAGCTCTTGCTCTAAGTTTTTACATACCTTACAATTTTTTACTTTAAATTTAAATCATTAAGGAATGCAATGATGGATGCTCATGTTATTCATTTATATGGCCAATGGTTTTTCAAGTCTTGCAAAGGTCTTGGGCCAAGTGATAACACATGGGAATAATTTTCACACAGTAACCATGAACTCTCTTTTTTTTTTTTTTTTTTTTTTTTTTTTTTTTGTGTGTGTGTGTGTGTGTGTGATTAAGAGCTCTACCTTCCAACTTCCTGAAACGTCCCCTGTTTTTGCTTACAATAAATTTCTTTAGTTCCCCTATGTCATTATTTTAAAAATGTTCTTAATGTCATCTTCTACTTCATTTCTCCTCTAGCACATAATTCCCATTTTGATTTTTTACTACTGCAGTTCAGCACTCCTTTTGTCTTCTTAATGTTGCCTTTACATAACTGGGGAATCCCATGCGAACACAGTGATGCTGATCACGTAACATGCTTGTGGATTTTGTGGTTTCTCCAATTCTGCTTTTAGGCTGCCAGGAGCCTCTTGCAGATGTATTTTCGCAAAGCACTATACAAGCTAGTAGGCAGTAATGCTAATGTGCCATGTAAATTTCTGTGGGCAGTCTCACACGAGCATCCATTTGGCATGAGTCAAAGTTTTAGGGATAGATGTCTATGGATACCTCCTAACTGGGGCAGTTTCTTTGCTCTCCACATGCTTTTCTTTTACTTTTCTCATACTCTGTATATTTTCTCCTTGTTTCTTTCCTCTTCCCAACTCTCTATTCTCCCTTCTCCTATTTCAGTCAGGTCCACGTGAGAAATTTCAGCCGGCTTTTGGAGTGTGAGCTTCAGCTGATATACCTAAGCATCCTGAAGTCCTATGAACACCTCAATTTTCTTTATTGTTTTCTTCCTGCTTAGGGGGAAAGGGGCTGGAGGAGTCAGAGCTCTTTGTCATGTCATGTAACAACACACTGCTACATTCTGTCACTGACATGCTACTTCAGGACAAGAAGGGGGGCACAAGGATGATCAAAGGGCTAGAGCGTCTCTCCTGTGAAGAAAGGTTGAGAGAGTTGGGCTTGCTTAGCTTGTAGAAGAGAAGGATGTGGAGAGATCTCATTGCAGCAAGAGAGAGACCACTTTTTTACATGGTCTGATACTGATGTGACAAGGGAAAATGGCTTTAAACTAAAAGACGGGAGATTTAGGTGGGATGTTAGAAATAAATTATTTACTCAGAAGGTAGTGAGCAGCAGGTTGCTCAGAGAAGCTGAGTATGGCACATCCCTGGAGGTGTCAAGGCCAGATTGGGTGAGGCCCTGGGCAGCCTGAGCTGGTGTATGGCAACCCTGCCCATGGCAGGGGGTTGGAACTGTGGAGGCTTTAAGCTCCCCTCCAAGGTAAGCCATTCTGTGATTCTTTCCCCCACTATTTAAATCTTATTTCAAAGCCTATTCACAAAAAAACAGGCAGGCCACCTTCCATGTGACCATGGAGGCTGTGAGCAATGCCCAAGAATGATTCCACCAGTGGAGAAAGCTGGTGAACTTTACCATCAAAGGGTTTGAACCACTCGCACAGAATCATAGAATCGTTTGACTTGAATGGAACCCTTTCTAAAGACCATCCGGTACAACTCCCCTGCAATGAACAGGGACTATCCCTGTTCGTACAGCCAGATCATGTGCTCAGAGTCCCATCCAGCCTGGCCTTGAGTGTCTCCAGGGATGGGACATCCTGTTCTCTGGGTAGGTTGTTCCCATGCCTCACCACACTTACTGTAAGAAACCTCTTTCATTAAATTTGGTCTAAATCCTCCCCTCTTTTAGTTTGAAACCATTTCTCTTTGTCCTATCTTAGCCGGCCGTATTAAAGAGTCCCCTTCTTTCTAAAAGCCTCCCTTTAGACACTGAAAGGTTGCTATCAGGTCTCTCCAGTTAGCTAGGGAGTCACTTCTAGGGTCTTACCCTAGCTGCCAAACTCACAACACCCTCATACGGGAACATGCAGAAAGGTATGATTTATTGAGTGTACAATAGGCACAAAGGAAGAGATGCTGTTCCTGCTTTGAAAGGTCTCTAGTGCCCTGGATCACTGTCAGGCTGAAGCCTGGCTACCGCTCTTTCCATCCTCCTCAGAGCTCTAGACGACTTTCCTCCAGCATTTTGCCAAAGGTCTCGTTTCACGACCTTCCAGCATTGGTACGAGCCCCCACATAATAATAAAAACACGTCGCGGAGGGATGTCGCCCCTTTTTTCCTCGAAGAATGGAAAAGCGCCCAGGGCACCGCGGCCACAGGGCCTCACCTCGGCGGCCCCCACGCCCTCTCCCAACAGCCGCGGGGGAGGGGAAGGGAGGGGAGGTCGCACGTTCCCCTCTCCCCCTGGCGGGCCCCAGCGGCCGCCCCTCACCGCGGCCGCGGGGCGGGGAGCGCCTCGTGGCGGGGCCGGCGGCACCTCGGGGCGCACCGGCGGCGGCGGCGGCCTCGCATGCGCGCAGCTGGGCGGGCGGCGGGGGAGGAAGCGGGAGGGCACCAAATTCAAATCGTTGCTGAGAAGGGAGGGGAAAATATACGGGGGAAGGAGGCAAGCCCAGGGGGAACGGAGAGGAGCGGAGGAGGAGAGAGGGAGGAGGAGAGTGGGAGGGGAGTGTAGAAGGCTCTAAGGGAAAGCGGCAGAGGCCAGAGAGGAGGCACGGCGGACGGCGGGGAAGGCAGAGGTGTCAGGGGAAGGACAGGGCGGCTTCGGACACCCTCGGCCGCAGCGCGGGGCAGCCGCCCGCCCATCCGCCCTCCCCGCCCGCGCGCCGCGGCACCATGGTGGACAGGGGCCCCTTGCTGACCTCGGCCATCATCTTCTACCTGTCCATCGGGGCGGCGATCTTCGAGGTGCTTGAGGAGCCGCACTGGCGCTCGGCTACCGACGACTACAAACGGCAGAAGACGGAGCTACTCAAGCAGTTCCCCTGCCTGGGCCAGGAGGGGCTGGACAAGATCCTGCAGGTACGGTGGGGAAAGGGGTACCAGGCAGGGTGGCAGGTGCCGGCGGGCGTCCGGGGCGGTACGCAACGGGGCAGCGCGGGGCTGCCCGCTGGGAAGCCGGCGGCCGTCCCCTCCTCGCAAAGCGCAGCGGGTCCCTGAAACTGTCCCGGGAGCGCGGGGAACGATCTCCGCCCGCCTTCACTGCTTAATGGCAGAGCGATCAGGTAGGTCCCTGCTCCTCATTCCCGCAATAAAAGAGCGTGGGGTGCCTCGAGGTGGGCGCTCCTTGCGCGTGGGGATGACGAGGTGGCCGGGTGGGTGCTCCCGCTCCTGTTCGGCGCGTTGGTTGTGAATGCAGCTCTTGTTTCAGCACCCGGAGTGGTTTCTCCTGCCTCAATGGACGTTGTGTGTGAGGAAGAGTAGGTGAAGCCAAGTCTTGATCCTTTTCAGTTTGGTCTGGATTAGTATTTATTTTTTTTTTTCTCGCCTTTTTTTTTTTTTTTTTTTTTTTTTTTTTTTTTCCCTGTAGTGAGTTGTGAGGAAAACACGTGTGGGGGTCTGAGCAGAGGTCCGCGAGATCAGTCAGGCTGCAAGCCTGAAGGAGAGGTGCAGGCAGGTCAGAAATGAACGCCTTGCACGCAGGGATGCTCACTGTTTCTGCGCTGAGATTCTACTTTGGGCGAGTGACTGAGAGTTTCTGAGCCATAAGGAGCTGATAATTGCCTCATTTCCTATCTGGCAGAATGCTTCTTCAAAACTAATCATTAATCGATATCACGTAGTAAGTGTCGGAGTAGTATAAACTTGGAGCCTTTTGGTGGATGCGGTGTCGATTGAAACATTGTGGCAAGCAGAGGCGAGCCACGGAAAATAGGCTGCCCAGATATGAGGGACTCTGGTGGTGAAAAGGAGTCCCTCAGGACTTTATTTCAGAAATGTTTATATTGACTGGATCTTATGGTCATCGTGCTTTGGGCTTTTATTTTTTTTTCTTCTCAACTTTATTCCTAAAATTTACAAAAAGTCTACTAAAATACTAGGGAAATGACTCATTCATTCTGTTGGCATAATCAGTTTTGTGCGAGCTTTGAAGAGATATGGTTCTTGATGTTATAAGTTTGTGGTTTAACATTTATTCCTTCAGCTGGTGACTGTTTCGTGTCTGCTTCAGATAGAGCTTTCTGTTGGTTGTGTCCTTACCATTTCTGTCTTAGTGCTTTCTGTTAACTACAGTTTTGTAGTATGCAGTGAAACAGTGAATGGAGGCTTGAAATTGTGAAGGGATGCTGGAAAATGAAAGACATGCATGCTTTGCTGCACTAGAATCTTAACTGAAATCTTACTCTAGGTTATCTATTCCCAGGAGAAGAACCTCATCTGGATTGGGGTGTGCCTTAAGCCTGCAGTGTTTAACTTGCTGCTGATATAATTCAGAATCTAGATTCTGGCTCAGTTTAGAATAAAACTCATGCTGGTATGAGGGAATTATTTAGCTAGTGTTTTTCTGTGACCCTTACCACAATTAATCCTGTAGCAGTAGAAAGCTTTTTTCTAAAACAAAAAGACTAGGAAAAAAAATTCTAGGGCAGATGGACCACATGAGATAATGCATTGTAGAGTGTGAATGGGTGCGGAGTTGATGAGAAGAAAAGCAGCATAAGGCAAACTATAGGCAGATCAAAGTAATTGGTTTGAGTACCTCTGCACACCACAAAGTGGAGGAGGGACTTCCCTCTTCAGTGTGTTGGCTCCTGGTGATATTCTTGTATTCCTGCTTTGCCTCTGCACTACTTCCAATTATACCTTAACTTTCCCTGTCCGATCTTGCTGGTCTGATGATCCCTTGTAGATATTCTGCTGTCATTTTCAGCCCAGTTTAGCTGAAATACAAATCTTTGCTTGCTCTTTCACGCTGACTGGTGACTGGAAACTATACTATTTGATTTATTCTGGATTTGTAGTTTTGTTGCTGTTCTTATTCAGCATGAGAAGTGATTGGAAGGAGAGAAGTAGCATTTCCTACAGAGGAGGGTGACAGGGTGAAACAGTCCAGCTGAAGCTAAGGGGGAAAATAAACAAGAAGTCATAGAAGGTAATAATGGTTTCATCTTGAATGAGCTGTAAAGTATACTGCAAATAGTATTTGTAATGGTTATTTGTTGACCTCTATCTGTGCTTTTTCTGTTGGGTTTTTATGATTCTTTAAAATGTTACAAATCTGTTTTCTTTTGGCAAATCCTTGCCATCTTGCACTCATACAAAGCCTCCAAATATAGTGTTTTACAATTTGTCATCACTGACTTTAAAATACGTGGTTTTTTTTCTTTACCCACACTTTTCTTTTGCTCCACTGAGCCACTTCCATGGACTCCTTGAACTAGTTCTTAGAATTTTGCATGACTTGACTTATTTCCCAGCTTTTGTTTTCAGTTTCACAGCCTCCAGTTCATCTTAGAGCTTTTCCTCTCACTCTGCTTGTGGTCCCCGCTGATGCTCATGTGACTCTTCACAGCCACACCGAACTCTTCTAATTACTTGTCTGATATTCTCATAGGATACACATAGAATAAAGTTTTTCAGCAAATATAACCATAGATAAAAAGTTAAATGGTTGTTAAAATGCAAAGATGCCAATAAATGTTTAAGTTGAACTAACAATACCAATTTTGTTTGCAGAAGCCAGCTGAAAAGTGACAAGGACTGACTTAATCAGAGACAGATCTCTCTGCTGCCCTTGTTCCCCACCCAGGTTAGCTTGTGTGTTCACCTCAGCCTAACGTTAGCTGTAAGTGGAGTGGAAGTTCTGTATGGAATGGATGCAAAGTTAAATGTGTAGGATGATCTTAACTGTTCAAAAAAAAATGATGAGGTTGTCGGCACAGGTTTTCAATTCATATAGAGAGTGGCACGTTTGTACCTTCAATATGAGTGATTCTTAAGGGGATTGTATTTTGTCAAATACTCTCTAGGGCTTGTATTCTGTAATAGAAGATTTCACAACACCTGATTACTGTAGAAATACACTGCAATAAACTTTATTGAAATACATAACACTTTCACAAATCTTGTAAGACGAGAGTTTTAGGATAGCTAGAAGGTATTTCTTCCCTAATCCTAAATACCTAAGAATAAGCTTAAAAGTAGCATCTAGCAGTCTTATGTGAAGAATCTATTTGCTGTCAAGTATTATAAGTGCCATGAAAGTATTTCCTAAACTCTTACTGGAGTAATGCTACTTAAACCCTTATAATATAAGTGTTTGACTGGAGTGTGTGTAGGCTGTTGTATAGAACTCTACAGCTTTGCCTTGGCTTGCTGCTATGGCTCAGAGTCCTGGGACATTTTAGGAGGAGGAAGAGAGGAGGCTGTGAGACCCACAGTGATGGCACCTTCTCTTACCCTCCTGTACAAATGAGTTTTGGACACAAAGCAAAAGAAGAGTAATGTGATCGTTTCCCTCTTCTCTAGTTCCTTACTTTTACTCTTTATTGCTCCATCCTGATTGTGAAACATCAGCTTAATGATAAAGGAGCTATTCATGCAAGGAGGAGCTCTCTTGACCCTCATACCACTATTTATATGAGCAAAGGTTTGCAACACTGAACTACATCTTGTTTACTAGGAAATCTGTTTTGCTGGTCCACTATAGTCATCAAGGAAAGAAATGCTTTCCACTGATAAACCTCAAGGCTAGTGAAAAGAAAGGGAATAATTTAAAGGTAAGTGAAAATGGTTACTTTCCAAACAAAGTAATAAAATGAGAAGAGAAACTAGCTAAGCTCAGGAAAAGCAGGCAAACTTACAAGAGCAAATAACTGAGGTCTTTATTTGAAAAGCATGCAGGACTGTAAACTGTCCTGACAAAGAGCTTTAGAAACTTGAATGTTTAGGCTTAAAGCCCAGTGCTGTGAACAAATATTTAGAAGATTCTTAAGGAGAGCTTCAGCTAAGATATACTTGGCACACAGGAGGATTATTCTAAAGGAAATAACCTCAAGTGGCTCAATAGTGGTTTCTCCTTTTTTTTTTTTTTTTTTTTTTTTTAGTTCTTATTTTTTCCAAGCCAGGATGTCTTCTCCATTTGCAAATACTGACAGGTGCACTTCTGAATTCAAATTTTCTAAAACCTTGTGTTAAGTTTTAAATGCTTTTCATGAGTTCAACATTCAATTAAGGGGCCGCACCTTTTCCTTATTGTTAGTAGAGTGAGTTGCTCTCCAATTTAAAGTTAATATACACTTTTTTTTTTTTTTTTCCCCCAATAATCTTTCCTGTGTTCATGAAGAGGTGAATAAATACAATATGGAAGATTCTAGACATCTAGGGCTTGTTTGGTAGTCTGTTTACTTCCTGATTCCTTCTACCTATCGTATTGAAGGTAGAGGAGACTTAATTGGAGACTGAATTCCATAGCTTAAATGCCAGACAGTCTGTCCTTTTGCGTGATCTGAACAACGTAAAAATGAGCAACAACCAGACAAGAACAAAGCAAATGATGAACAGCAAAGACATTAACAGCAATACCTAATACTTCCCACCTAACGATTTGACAGCACACATGAGGCTCATGCCTGAGAAATAGCTATTGGTAGATGTTTACAAATGTGTAACTTTAGTTCTGCACTCTCTTTCAGCAGAGACAAATGGAGATTAAAATATAGGATCGCTGTCCACAGTGCCTCTGTGGCATCTCAGTCTAATGATTATAGATACTGCTATGGCAGCATTAGATAAGGAAACTTGAGGACAGGCAGTGCTACTTTATACCATAGCTTTTTTCTGTGTGCACCTTCATGCAAAGTCATGTGTAACCAGACATGCTTTCCTGTCGCATTTCATCTGTCCCTGCCCCCTTTTCTGTTTAACCTTTATATTGTTTAAACTTTCTTGGAACATAGTTAAACAAAGCTGATAGTGCATACGCAGCAACTCTCAGCTGATGGAGCAATAGCACTTCATCAGAAGTTCTGATTTTCCTGCTATGGGCTTAATCCTTGAATGCTTGTAGTATATTGTCCTGT